GCGGGGTGGCCTCCGGTTCTTGCGAAGGGACCGCCGGGAACCACCTCGGTCACTCCCGCACCCCGACTTGGATGGTGGGTGTTACCGGGAATTTTTAGGATGAACTTAAGCAACCTGCAAGGAAAAGTCATGCAATTAAACAGAACCTCAGGATGCTCCAAATTTACGTGCGGGCCTCACCCGTGACTGTCCCTGAATGTGTGTCACGAAGTTCAGCTCAGACCAGGGGTCGTGCCGTTACCCAGGGGGGCGGGAGGGGCTCGCCTCGGCGGCGGCCGTGACTCCATGCGCGCACTTGGCGGGGGCTCGGCCTTGGGTCTGGCCGTGGGGCGTGGAGTGTCCACTGGGTGGAGGAAGGGAAGCGCGAAGGCTCCGGGGCCGCGGGCCATGGCCACCCTGCGTGCTCTTGGGAAGGGCAAGCAGAGGACAAAGGCGGCGAGGGCGGCAGCGAAGGCCTGGAAGGTCGCGCACAGCCCAGGCTCCCGGGCGGCAGAGGGAGGGCAGCCGCGAGGGCGTGTGCGCGGGGAGGTGACCGCTGGGCCGTGCTTCAGGAAGACGAGGCTGGAAGCCTCTGCCAGGACAGCCGGGGGTGGGGGGCACAGACTGTGCCCGGACAGCAGCTTAGAGGTGACCATAAATAGTTCTGCTGCCAACGCCTCCCCGCAGTGCTGTCCTCTGTTCTGATTTCTAAAAATGGCAGCAGGTTCCTTCAGTTCTGGGGTCTGGCTCACTCTGCCTGGTCCCCTCCCCCGCCCCCGCTGCTCCCATCTCTCTACACCATTCCTGGGGTTCCGCCCCTCGCCCAGACCTGCTCTGGTAGGGCCTGGGCCTCCCGTCCCCAGGCCTGATGCCCCGCGCCATAACATCCCCTGGCAGTCAGTTGCCTGAGGGTGCCCCTGCCTGCAGACACAGAACCCACCCCGGGGTGCTGCGCTTTTTTTGTGCCGCCGCAGGAATTTGTGTATGGCCGAGACTCGACAACTCGCTGGGGCTTGGTTACGAATGAGGAATCCCAAGCTGGGGAACCTAAGCACCTTTCCCTTAACTGCCTCCCTTCCCTGCACTGGCCCTCGGCGCCAGGAATTGCAAGTGCAATAAATAGGGGGCCCCTCTGTCTCCTGACGGGCAGTGGGCCATGAGGCAGGCCTCCGGCTGCGCCCTGGGTGCTGCTGCCTCCCGACTGTGTGCTGCTCAGCAGGTGTCCTGACCTCTCTGAGCCCGCGGAGCTGACACCAGCTGCCTCAGCCCATGGGCCGGCGTGGGGAGCAGGAGCTGAGGCCCTGGGAGGTGGGCGGGGAGGGCCAGTGTGACCCGAAGTCTTTGCCTTGACCGCTCTGGGCTGCTGCCCTTCTCACAAAGGCGCACGTGCCCACCCTGACCCGCAGCAAAGGCCGACCCGGCGCACACAGTGACTGCAGGCCCAGCACGGGGGACAGACGGCGGGGGGGCAGGCAGAGTGTCCTTGAGGCCATCCCCAGGGCGGTCACTCTCGGAAAGCTGAGTCTGACCCTTTGGGGGGACGGCTCCCCAGGTCTGCCCTCCCAGCCGCTGGTGTGGACGCCGAGGCCAGAGGCCGGTGCCGCAGGTGGGCAAGCGAGCCACGGCCCGGCGCGAGGTCTTGCCTTGCTTCTGGAGCAAGGGAATTTGGGGTGAGCGGGAGAAGGATGAGGGTGGTTCTGGAACAGCCGCAAGTCTGGCCTCCGGACCGGGGAGGCCTTCCCGGGCCCCAGAGCCGCCGGGCTGGAACCGGTCTAGGGGCCCAGGGCGACAGGCCTCGGCCGGGCTGGTGGGGGCGATGAAGAGGGTCACGCGAGGGCACTGCGGCCCCTCCACGCGCAGGGCGCCGCGGGCGAGGGCGCGGGCAGCGCGGCTGTGTGCAGGGGCTGGTGCGCCCGGAAGGCGGGGGCTCTGGTCCGACTCTTCTCAGCGAGCCCCAGTCCCGAGCCGGGTCTCCTTGGAGACTGGGGGCCCCAGAGGCCGCGTCCCGCGGGGCAGAGGCGGGCTGTGGGCGGGCGCAGCGCCCGGGGGACGAGCGCCCAGGCGGGGACGGCGCCCTCGGGGAGAAGCCGCGGGCGGGGGGAGCCGGGGGCGGGCGGGGGAGCCGGGGGGGGCGGGGAGCCCGGGGAGGGCGGGGGAGCCCGGGGGCCGGCGGGGGAGCCCGGGGGAGGGCGGGGAGCCCGGGGGCCGGCGGGGGAGCCCGGGGAGGGCGGGGAGCCGGGGGCCGGCGGGGAGCCCGGGGAGGGCGGGGAGCCCGGGCCGGGCGGGGGAGCCCGGGGCGGGCGGGGGAGCCCGGGGGCGGGCGGGGAGCCCGGGGCCGGCGGGGGAGCCCGGGGAGGGCGGGGAGCCCGGGGCCGGGGCGGGGGAGCCCGGGGAGGGCGGGGAGCCCGGGGCCGGGGCGGGGAGCCCGGGGGCCGGCGGGGGAGCCCGGGGCCGGCGGGGGAGCCCGGGGGAGGGCGGGGAGCCCGGGGGCCGGCGGGGGAGCCCGGGGGAGGGCGGGGAGCCCGGGGCCGGGGCGGGGGAGCCCGGGGGCCGGCGGGGGAGCCGGGGGCCGGCGGGGAGGCCGGGGGAGGCGGGGAGCCCGGGGCCGGGGCGGGGAGCCCGGGGGCCGGCGGGGGAGCCCGGGGGCCGGCGGGGGAGCCCGGGGAGGGCGGGGAGCCCGGGCCGGGGCGGGGGAGCCCGGGGGCCGGCGGGGGAGCCCGGGGCCGGGGCGGGCGCGGCCAGCGCGCGGGGGTCCGGCCCCGCGAACACGACGAGTGGGCCCAGACGGGCCTCCGGGCTGACGCCGCTTACCGCGCGCCCTGGAGGGGGCTGGGTAAGCTGAGCGGCTGCCTCAGGGCCCCGGCGGGCGGCACCCGGGGCGGCGCCGCCCGCCACCCGCGCGTCCCCCGCCCGCCCCCCGACGGCCGCGACGCCCGGCGAGCGCGAGGGCGGGGCGGGGAGGAGTCCGGCCGCGCCCGGCCCCGCCCCCGCCCGCACGGGCCAATGGGGAGGCGGGGCCCGCCCCCGCCGCCCCGCCGCGGGCCAATGGGGAGGCGGGGCCCGGCCCGCCCCGCCGCCCGGCCCGGGGCCCTGCGCCCGCGCCCGCGCCCGGCCAGACGGCGCCCGCCTCGGCTCGGTTCGGCTCGGCTCGGCTTGGCCCGGCCCGGCTCGGTTCGGCTCGGCTCGGCTCGGCTCGGCTCGGCCCGGCCCGGCCCGGCTCGGCTCGGCTCGGCATGGCGGGCTGCTGGCGGGTGGCGCGCGCGCTGCGCAGGGCGGCGGGCTCGGGGCCGGCCTGGGCCTCCGCCGCGCCGCTGGGCCCCAGCTCGCCCGCGCAGCCGCGGCGCCACTGTGAGTCCCGGGGCGCGCGCGGGGGCGCGGGGCGCGGGGGGCGCGGGGCGCGGGGGGCGCGGGGCGCGGGGCGCGGGGGCGCGGGGCGCGGGGGGCGCGGGGCGCGGGGCGCGGGGGGCGCGCGGGGGGGGGGCGCGCGGGCCGGAGGGGCCGAGGCCGCGGGGCCGAGCGGGGAGCCGCGCCCCGGGGTGCCCCGCCCGCCCGCGCCGGGGGGAGGCGGCCCCGGCACAGACAAAGGCGCCCCGGACAGCGGCGCGCGGGGTCCCGGTGCTGCGCCCGCCCGCGCCCCGCCCGCAGGCCCCGCGCCCGCGAAGGTCACTTTCCCAGACCCCGCGCTGCCCGCGCCGGGAGCCCCTGGGGTGGGCCGGGAGCCCCGGGGTGGGCCGGGCGCGAGGGCGGGGGGGGGCGGCCACGGGGTAATCGTTAACCCGCGCGGAGCAGCTGACCGCCGCGCCTGCCAGGGAGAAGCGGGCGTTTCTGCTTCGGTGCTTTCGGGGTGTCTTCTGGGGTCAGCTGTACAGCTCGGGGTTCCCCGTGAGCCCCCCAGGACATCTGGTGCAAAATGTGGTGACTCAGATGCGCCACCCGGTCTCCTTTCCCCGCGCCGTGACAGTAAAAAAAGAAAGACCCCCCCCAAAAAAGACCGAAACCCCAGATGAATAGGAAAAAAACCCCGGGGCTGGGTCTGCACCGCAAGGGAAGGGCGCCTCGGGGCAGCGCCCAGCCCCACCCCCAGGGCCGCGTGCCCGGCACCTGTTGCCCGGCCTGCCAGCGGGCGCGGCTCTGGGCGCAGGACGCCGGCTCCCCGCGCGGCCGCCAGACTCTTCCCTTGGAAACCATCCGGGATCCGCCGCCCGGTCGCCGGCTTCTCGCGGCCTCGGTCTCCCCGCCGCGCAGGCCTCGAGCCTCGCCCTGCCCGAGGGCCTGGGCGGGCGGCCCCGCCGGCGCCCACCCCAGCCCGACGCCGCCGGGCTCTCCTCATGGCCCCAGCCCTTCACACCTTGGTGGGGCGCCTGCACGCCCAGATTCCGGGGTGCATTCTCAAAGCACTGTTGAGATTTGCAGAGCGCGTTCTTACGTGTTCTTTAAGCCTGTTGCCCCCACACCGGATGCTGCCCCTCCAGAGCTGCTCTGGGCGGTTCTGTGTAAGCCCAGTGGGTTTTGACGTCCAGTCTCCGTAAAATCTGGGGCCTGCACCAGATCCCCTGTGGGGTTGAGCCCACTGACTCTGCTTCAGGCATGATGTGCTGGGAACTGCCCCTCCACCCCTGGAGGCCAGGCTCTGTCCTGCTCCGGGATTCGCGTTTCTGCAAACCCAGTTTAAAAGGCCAGCAAGTTGCAAACCGTGAGCTTCGCTAGGGCGGAAGCCTGCTGCCTGGCAGAGGTGCGCCCGGGGGCACGTGTGATGGCAGGTGCGGCTCACCTGGGGGTGGGGGGCGGGTTGAGCGTGTCCGCCAGAGTGGAGGTGAGGGTGGGACAGGCCGGCCGCACGCGGCATTGCCGTAGCTTGGCGTCATGCATCCTTCCACAAACACTGTGCCCCTTGTGCGTGCCAGGTGCCGGGCAGGGTGCTGGGCATGGAGCTGGGGATCAGAGCCGGGCTCTCTGCCCGCGTGGGCCCAATGCAGGGACAGATGAGAAACGCGGTGTCCTGTTGTCTAGGGTGATGCGGGCAAAGCTACAGCGGCTGGAGGAACCCGGACAGCGCCAGGAAGCTGGGGAAGGTGCCAGGGAGTGAGGGAGACAGGGGAGAGCTTGCCAAGGCCAAGCTGAGTGCACCCCCACCGGGGAGCGAGCGGAGCCTGAGAGCAGGGCGAGGTGAGACACTCAGGCTTTGAGGACTTTGACCTTTACCACGAGGGGAAGGGGAGGCTGTGCCGTGACCATTTCCGTTTTTACTGGAGCTCTGGCTTCCTGGGCCTGGGGGGCCTGGGAAGAGGCTGTCACAGCCTGGCCCGAGGGGGCTGGCTTTGGCCTGGCTGGTGGTCCAGGGGTGCTGAGAGGCTGCTAGGTTCTGCATGAGTTTTGAAGGGAGAGCGAATAGGATTTTTCGATGGTTTGGATGTGGGTGTGAGACAAAGAGGAGAAACAGAAGAGGAAGGAGTGAGGGATGACCTGGAAGGTGCTATCGTGTCTTCCAGAATTGCGGTCCTGCCTTCTCGAGTTCTCTGGACTGGCGGCTTCTCCCCACTTTCTGTGCTGAGAGTCTCCAGGTCGGAAGGCGGGGTGGCCTTTGGGGGTGGCTAGCTGGGTGGGGGCTCCGGCCTTGAGTTCTGAGCAGCAAGCAGGTCCTGATACCAGGGAGGGGTTTGCAGTCCTCGCCTGGGGAGCCAGCCTCTGGCTACTGGGTGAGTCGGGTACACATTGGCCAGGGTCGAGCGTGCCTGCAGCCGGCCTGTGTAAGCTCCTGGTGGGTGGCTACCCCTGGGAGGCTGCCGGGGGGCTGTTGAGGCCCACTGTCACCCCGTGCCGGGGGGAACAATGGGGTGCCCCACCTTGTTGGCTGAACCACGGTCTCAAGCTGCGCCCTGGGGTGCTGTGCCTGGCAGGCCTGGAAGGCAGGGTGGGTCCTCAGCCTGGCCCACCCTCCCCGGGAGTGACAGCTACAGTTTTTATGTAAAATCTTGACTTATTTGGGTGTTTAAGTTTTTGTTACTTTTCTTTCTTGCTTTTTATGGTGGTCAAAGAGGGCACCAAAAGTTTCCGCCTCGGCCATTTTCAAGGGCGCTCGGCCATTTTCAAGGGCGCAGCTCTGGTGTCACGTTCATGTCGGGGCTTCGTCTGGTGCGGCTGACCCCGTCCTCACTCGGAAACAGCTCCCTCCCCGGCTACCGCCCTCTGCTTCTGTCTGGCTGTGACTCGCTTGGAAACCTCACGTAGGAAGCCTGGGGCGTTTGTCTTTGTGTCGCTCAGGCTCCTGGGGGCGGCGGAAAAGATGCTTCCTTCACGTGGGCCGGCCCGGGAGGCTCTGGTGGCCTCGCGGGCGCCCGGCCCTTGTGACCGAGGCGTCTAGCAGGTGTCACTGCAGACCCTGGATGGAAGGTGTCTGGGCACCCTGGTGTCCGTGAGCCGCGCACCCGCCTGCGGGAGCCCCGAGGGAATCTGTGGAATTGGAGACTAGACCAGAGGCGAGAGCCGGCCGAGCCCTCCAGGGGGAACGGTTCCGTCGCCTCCGGATGCTTCTGGAGTCCTGCTGGCCTCTGGAGGGTTCTGGCCACACCTGGTCCACACCCTCGTCTCCCGGCCCGCGGCGGCTTCCGCATTCCGGCTGCTGGGAGCGGGGGCGCCGTGGACACAGGTGCGCAGAGCCTCCCCCGGGCTGCCGGAGCTGGGTTGCTGGTCACGGGGCGGCCCTGTTGTTTTTGACTTCTTGAGGAGCGTCAGCAGGAGGCTGCACCCGCCAGCCCGCTTTGGGGCGCGGCCGGCCTGTCACTCTGTCTTCCATGGCAGCCCTGGGGGAGGGGGGGTGGCGGCTTCCTGTGGCTCGACCCCTCCCGACTGGCGATGTCCAGCGACTTCTCAGGCGCGTGCCGGCCGGTTTCCATCCGTTTTTGGAGACACGTCTACTCCGCGTCTTTGCGCGTTAAGTGATCAGGTTATTGGGTTTGTTGTTGCACTTCGGTTTTTTAAGCCTCGGTTACCCTGACCAGGAACGGAACAAAACCCTGGGCGGAACAGAGCCCCCTGCTGTGCTTCCACCGCTGCCCCCTCTGCTCTGGGGCGTCTGCTCTGGGGCGCTGCCCACCTCTGTTGTGCTTTAGTGTCTGGGTTTCCTTGACCCACAGGTTGCTCCGTGGCCGGCTGTTGACTCTGAGAGCGGCCCTGCCATGGGTGGGGGGGCCTGACCTTGGCCACAGCCCAGGCGAAGCTGAGGGGCCTGACTGGCAGGGTCCCTTCGATTTTTAGAGTCTGGATTAGCTCTCATCGAAGCACCTCGCGGGGGACGGCCAAAAAGCGGGGCTCGCCGCCCAGCATGCAGACTCCTGCAGGCCCCCAAAGCCCTCTGCCCCCCAGCTCCCCGCCTCAAAAGCTGCAGTTTCGGAGCTTAGGTCCAGAACACCTGGTGCGTGTCGGGCCGGGCGACCGGCGCCCACCACGCGCTCAGCGCAGGGTGACATGTTTCGCCTTCGCTGCTTCCCCCCGCCGGACCCGCCAGGCGTGGGAGGCCGCCCTGGAGCCTGCGCCCTGCGTTCCTGGCTCCTTTCCTCCCTAAAGGAGCTCCAGGGTGCTGTGTCTGCACGCCTGCGGGTCGGCAGCCCCGTGCGGCCGAGCCCCGCTCTTCCCGCCTCCGGGCGCTGGCGCCTCGTGGGCTGCCCGCGCAGTCTCCAGGCCGCTCGCAGGCTCTGGCCTTGGCTGTCCAGCCACCGCTCTGGCCGGCGGCCGTGGGGCAGGAGACGGGCGCCGCGCTGTGAGCGGGCCTGAGTGAGGGCTGCCTCGCCCCTTCTAGGGACAGGCCCCCTCCGGCCTCTCCCCACTTGGCTGCTGACCGAGGGGCGTGACCGAGCGCCTCTTACCTGGCTTTGCTGGCTGCTCCCCGCTGGGCCCGGGTGCTGCTCTGGCAGGTCTGCCCGGCCCGAGCAGGGGTCGGGGCGTGTTGCCGCCGGCTGGGACGCCCTGGGTCTGAGGAACTGTGACCGTGGGGCTCTGCGTCCCCACGTTAAGGTGCAGCCTCTCCCGTGGGGGCTGTTTTGAAGGTGAAGAGGGATGACGCGTGGAAGGCGGCGCTCCCCAGCACACACCTGCCTCCCTCCTCGCGCTGGCCCAGCCTAAGCTTCGCTTCCTAGTAGAAGTGCAGGGAAGACTGGGGGGGTCTGGGGTGAGAGGGGGTCCCGGAGGCACTGGGGCCGCTGACTGGAGCCCCGGCTGCTGTCCTGAGGACGGTCACCTCTGCCATCCCTTCCAGGGCGGCTGCGCCTTCTTCCACGGGCCGGCTGGCCTCCCTCAGTCGGGCCTCCAGGTTCCCCCCAGGGAGGAGTGAACCCAGGGTCGGGGCGTCTCCCCGGGGTTGGGCCGGCTGGGGAGACGGGCTCCCCACTCCCCTGCCCAGGGCGTGATGCCCTGTGTGTGCCCCGTCCCAGATGCCGACAAGAGGATCAAGGTGGCGAACCCCGTGGTGGAGATGGACGGCGACGAGATGACCCGCATCATCTGGCAGTTCATCAAGGACAAGGTGACCCCGCCCCACCAGAGCCACCGGCCTCGGGGCCCTGCGCCGGGCCTGGGCGCGCTTCCCGGCCCCCTTCTGTCACCACTGGGCTCGCGGGGCCAGGGCACGCCTGCAGGCCTGTCCTGCGTGCCACAGCGCGTGCCGGGGTCAGAGCCTGCGCCTTTCAAACAGGGGCGCGGCTTCGAGGCGGCTCCTGCTCGGGTCTTGTCCCCGACTCTCCGCCAGGCTCCGCGAGGGGGCGGTGGGCAGGGCCTTAGCGGCGGGGCCGCGGGGCAGCAGAGGGTCTGAGCCGCAGCGGCGGAGGCCCGGGGGCTGCTTGGCTTCCCCAGGGTCTCCGCGGTCTGCGTCTGTCCCCTCTCCTGTTGGGTCCGCACACGCGGAGCGGCTTGAGAGCCCCGCTTCTGTCTGGGGAGGAAGGGAGTTGATAGGCCACCTCGGGGCACCCCAGTGCCCTGGCCTCCTGCCAGCTGCTGCCCTGCCCCCGCCCTCTGCTGGCTCTCCGGGGCCCTCCCAGCCAGGCATCCCTGCCACGGCCGCGACGGCCCCAGCTCTGACTCACGGTCGCCGGCGCTGACCCGGCCTGGGCGTCCCTCCCCAGCTCATCCTGCCCCACGTGGACGTCCAGCTCAAGTATTTTGACCTGGGGCTCCCGCACCGTGACCAGACCAACGACCAGGTCACCGTCGACTCCGCGCTGGCCACCCAGAAGTACAGCGTGGCTGTCAAATGCGCCACCATCACCCCTGACGAGGCCCGCGTGGAAGGTGTGAGGGCGCGGAGGTGGGGTCTGGGCAGGAGCTGTGGCGCGGCCATCCCGGCGGCCCCGAAGGGGGGGGGACGGGCGGGGGGGAGGGGCGGGCCCCCGGGACGGCGGCGTCTCTGCGGAGCTGAGGGCCCGGGCGGGGTTGGTGGCCCTGGTGCGGGAAGCAGGGAGCTAAACCCTCGGCCCCCTGGCAAGTTAGCAGGGGGAGCCCGAGGCCCCGTCCCCAGGAGAACTGGGTGTCAGGTCCAGCTGCTCAGGCCCCCGGGGGCTCAAGGGAGCACAGCCTGTCTGGCTCTGCCACTGCGGAGTCACAGAGGCGCCCCCAGGCCGGGCGGGACCGCGGCTCCGGTCCGCGGCTGCTCTCGGGGGGTCCCGCGACAAGCACGGCGCGTGCAGCGGGAGCGGGTTCGGGAGAAGCGCAGAGGGAGAGGCTTAGGGGTGCCCAGAGTTCCTTGCCCACCTCCCGCGGTTCCGGGAGCGAGAGGGGGCCCCCAGGCGCCCCTCCTTGAGCTCGGGGCCTCCTGTCCGCTCGCCCTGACGTGGGCGTCTCTCGGGGGGTTTTCTTTTATTGCTCTCAAAGCCCGGGACGTGCACGGCCCCTGCCGGCGGGGGGCGAGTCTCAGGAGCCGACCGCCTGCTCTCAGTCGCAGCCTGGAGCTGGGGCCCGGGTGGCGGGAGCAGGAGGCCACGCGCGCCGGGGCTCACAGGCTGAGCTGCGCCCGAGGGTGGCGCGGGGGTGAGGACAGCGAGGGGCATTGCCCACCTGCTGGCCGCTGCTGTGTGGCTCAGCCCTGAAAGCGGTGCAGCAGTCTCCTTGGGGCAGGCCCCGTGGGTCCCGAGCCAGGGGCAGGGACCCTGGGGCCGGGCCTTCACCCGCCGAGCTCCATTCCCCCAGGGGGACGGCCAGGAACCCCCCCGTACATTCTCGCTCGGGGTGCACGCTCTGTGTGGAAGCTGAGCCAGCCGCGGACCCATTTGTGTCTGTCCTTGCAGAGTTCAAGCTGAAGAAGATGTGGAAGAGCCCCAATGGAACCATCCGGAACATCCTTGGGGGGACGGTCTTCCGGGAGCCCATCATTTGCAAAAACATCCCCCGTCTGGTCCCCGGCTGGACCGAGCCCATCGTCATCGGCAGGCATGCCCATGGCGACCAGGTCGGCCCTGGGGCGTCTCCTCCGGGTCCTGGGAGTCCTGCGGAGCCCCCGGCCTGAGCTGCCCACCTCTTTCCCCCTGCAGTACAAGTGCACGGATTTTCTGGTCGACGGGGCTGGCTCCTTCAAGATAATCTTCACCCCGAAGGGCGGCGGCCGCGCCCAGGAGTGGGAGGTGTACGACTTCCCCGCGGGCGGCGTGGGCCTGGGCATGTACAACACGGACGAGGTGAGGGGCCACGGCGGGGCGCAGGCGCCGGCTCTGACCTGCGGCCTGCGAGCAGGTGCATCTGGGGTGCTGAGGGGCCTCAGTGCTCCCCCGGGCCACGGTGTTTGTCCAGCCTCTGGCTCGAGAAAACTGGTCCAGCACGTCTTCCCTTCCCCCGTCCTGACCTTCCTCTGCCGCTGGCCTGGACCACAGGCTGGGGGCCCACGGCCCCTCTAGCGCCAGGCTCTCTCCCGGCTTGCGGTCCCGGCAAAGGGGCCAGGCCGGGTCACGTGACCGTCTGGAGCCATGACGGAGGCCCGGGGCAGGCCGGGCTGCAGGTGGATGAGCCAGAGCCGTGGCGTGGGGTGCGCGAGGCAGCTTCCCGCAGCAGAGCTGGGGCACTTCCAGACGGGACGTCACAGCTTGCCGGGGGCCCGGGGCAGCCGTGCTGCCAGAGGGTCGCGTGGAGGGAAGGGACACCACCCCTGCCTGGGGCTCCGGCCGGGAACCATCCAGGGCCTCTCTCTCCCCACAGTCCATCTCCGGCTTTGCGCACAGCTGCTTCCAGTACGCCGTCCAGAAGAAGTGGCCGCTCTACCTGAGCACCAAGAACACCATCCTGAAGGCCTACGACGGGCGCTTCAAGGACATCTTCCAGGCCATCTTTGAGAAGTGGGTGCCTCCCTGACTGTTTTCCCTCTGCCCCCGCGCCCCTAAACCCTCATTCCACCCAGGGGCGCACTGACCCAGCACGCATCACCCGGCCCTGGGAGCCCCTGCGCCCGGCCCACCGCAGGCCCTCTGCCCCCAGGCACTACAAGGCGGAGTTCGACAAGAGCAAGATCTGGTACGAGCACCGGCTCATCGACGACATGGTGGCGCAGGTGCTCAAGTCTTCGGGCGGCTTCGTGTGGGCCTGCAAGAACTACGACGGGGACGTGCAGTCTGACATCCTGGCCCAGGGTAGGCCCGGGCGCCCCGCTTGCTCTCGTGGGGTGCTTCGCCGGGGCTTCTCTCTAGCGGATCTTAGACGCTTTGGTAGGAAAACGCAAGCACAGCTGCAGGACCGGGCGCGCTGCTTGGTGCAGGGCCCCTGTGGCCAGCAGGGGGCGGCAGCTCCCCGGCATCTGCGTGAGGACGGCTCCGCCTGAGGTTTGGGCTGGTGTATTCCCCAGGCTGCTGTTTCAGAGCCGGGGGCATGTGGGCAGTCAGGTTCTCAAGGGCCAGACGTGTCAGCCTGGAGATGGTTCTTGTCCACCTAGGGGCCTGGTGGCGATGTTTGGACCAGGTCTGATTCTTGCGGGATTGAACCCAATTGGGTGCTCCTTAAATTATGGAGGATTCGAGTTGCACAGCCAACTTCGGAAGGATGGGCAGAAGCAGCCTGGCTGTGTTGGGCACCGAGCGGGAAAGCTGCTGGCACGGGCGGCTAGAGGACATGGAGGAAGAGACAGGTTGGGCGAGGAGGCAACCTGGGGCCAAGCCCCTGGCAGCAGAAGCGGCTGCTGAGAAAGGCCGAGGCCGGTGCTGCCTACAAGCAGGGCCTCTGCTTTGCAAAGTTCGGGATGATGGTCCTGCAGAGCTCTCCTCCGGGGCGAAGGGAGGGAAGCCCCAGCAGGCGAGAGAGGGGCACGTGGGGGTGTGGTCAGGTCAACATGGAGCCGGACGCCTGCCCTCCCCGTGGCAGCGATTCTCAGACAAACGCTTTTCCCGTGGGGGCTGCCGCTTTCTCCTCCTCAGGCCTTCTGGCTCCTCTGTTAGTGCCCCGGGGTGCTGTGAAGCCCAGGAGGCCTCCTTGGGGGAAAAGGTCAACATTTGCACTGGGGAGACTTTGAAGTACCCCAAAGCTCCACTGCCGTGGCGGCCACCATGCGGCTTCATCCTCCTGGCTTCACCACGCCTCACAGCCTGCAGCCAGGCAGGGGCTGGACTCCGGGGGCCTGGGGTTAGTTGACTAGTGATGGCCACCCTGAGCGCCCCCGGCCTGTACTAGACGCTGGGGGTACCCACGATGAAGGTGGACCAGCCTGGAACTGCGGCTGTCTCCCCACGACAGCGGGGTTGAGGCAGAGCAGGCGGCCAGAGGCGGCGATGCAGCTGGAGGGGGTGGGGTCAGCCCCAGGAGGCCCGAGCAGGAGGCCTGAGTGGGGGGCTTCTGCCCGCAGGCTTCGGCTCCCTGGGCCTGATGACGTCCGTGCTGGTCTGCCCGGATGGGAAGACCATCGAGGCGGAGGCAGCCCACGGGACGGTCACCCGTCACTACCGGGAGCACCAGAAGGTGAGTTGGGGACGTGGCAGCACCTGCCCAACCACTCTGGGCCCAGCGCCCGGCCCCCTGGGTGGGGAGGACAGGCCTGGCCTGGCCTGGCGGGTCCTCACTGGCCACTGTGGCTCTTGCTCCCCCGTGGCCCCTCCCAGGGCCGGCCCACCAGCACCAACCCCATCGCCAGCATCTTCGCTTGGACGCGAGGCCTGGAGCACCGGGGGAAGCTGGACGGGAACCAGGAGCTCGTCAGGTGAGCCGGAGGGCGCGGTCTGGCTGGGTCGGGCTCTGGGCTCACGGGCGGGCCCTCACTCTGCCTCCCTGCAGGTTTGCCCAGACCCTGGAGAAGGTGTGTGTGAACACGGTTGAGAGCGGAGCCATGACCAAGGACCTGGCGGGCTGCATCCACGGCCTCAGCAAGTGCGTGGCCGGGGGCGGGGCAGGGCTGGCCTTCTGGGGTCTCGGGACCAGGTGGGAGGAAACCAGAGGGTCCCTCTTAGACACCCCACCCCTCCCCTCCCGAGTCAGGTGAGCGGCCAGACGCCTGGGACGGGACAGGTCACCCCCCTGGGGTGCGGGGTGGGGGCGGTGTTGCTCGGCCTCACCCCGACTCCAGCCTTCCCATCCCCGTCCACGCCCACCCTCGGCTCCTTCCCGGGAGCCTGTACCGGCCGCCCGGTCGCCTGCGGGAGGAAGTCGGGCCCTCCGGGCTGCTGCAGACGCGGCTGTGGCCTCTGGTAGGGACCGTGGGCTGCCTGGGCCCGGCGGGGCTGGCGGGTGCCTCAGGGTGGCGTTCTCCCGCAGCGTGAAGCTCAACGAGCACTACCTGAACACCTCGGACTTCCTGGACACCATCAAGAGCAACCTGGACAAGGCGCTGGGCCGGCAGTAGAGGGCCCCGGCGGTGGCGGCTGGACGGGCGGGCCGGCCCCCGTGCCCGGGGAGGGTGAGCCTCACAGCCTCTGGAGGCCTTCCTAGGGGACGTTTTCTACAAATAGGGTGTTTTTTAAAGTGTGTGCCTCCCGCTTGGCGCCGGGAGGCGGGTCGCGTGTCTTACCTCAGCGGTCCGCGTGCTCTGCGCGCTGCGCCTCATGCTGGATCACGGTGCCTTACTCAGCTACTAAAAGGCTCTTCACGAGACGGTTGGTGCCTTTGTCCCTGGGGGTCGGGGGGCGATGCCCGAAGGGCTGACAGGCTGCTCCCGGGACGGCTGGCTTCGGCCGGGGGACGGCGGCAGTGACTGCTCCCTGGGGGCTGCGGGACGCGTGGGGCGCAGGCCCGGGCACCCGGGAACTTCCTGGCGTAACACGGTCCCGACCTCCTGCTCCTCGACGGAGACCCTGCCGTCACGTGCGTAGAATCCCGGTTGCTGCCTTCAGTCGCTGCTCTTCTGCGCGTCTTCAACTCTCTAAGCCCCGCCGCGGCGCACGCGCCGTCTTGCTTGCCACCGCCCCACCCAGCAGCGGCCTCCTCCCCATCACTCAGGGTTTGGGGGTGTGCGGGACCCTGTGAAGTCCAGGCGGGGGTGCCAGGCCATTCCTGACTGATGCTGGAAAAGCAGGGGCGTGACGTTGCCTGAAGCAAAGCATCCGCACCGACGCTGCTGCCCACGGCTCAGGTTCTGCTCGGCTGCGGGTGTCCGGGCAGGGCGGTGCCTCTGCTCGGCTCGAGCTTGGCACCCCAGGTTCTGGGGGCACTCGCACGGCACCGACCCCCACCCCCCGCAGCTGGAGCAGCTGTGGGACGGCGCCCCGAGCCCGCAGCCTCGAGAGAGCTGCTGCTGGTTTCTGTCCTGGTGTCCGGGGTGTCGAGTGGTTTTGGGGGTCTCCAGGCCTTGGCCTGCACCCTCTTGAGCTCAGAGCAGTGGTGCTCTGTGTGTTCTCATACCACAGGCTGCTCTGGGCCCCCCGGCCCCCCTCCGCGGCGGAGCTGGGAAGCCGGGGTGGGGATTCCTTCCGAAACCCGGGGCAGGGCGAGGACGAGGTCCCCAGTGCCACGGGAGGAAGCACGCTCAGTCACCTCGCTAAAGAATATTCATTTATTTATAATTATTGCTAAGTAAACTCTTTCAACTGGAACATAAAAACACAGTAGGGCTTCGCACGATTGGAGTTCTAAGTGGTACACATCAAAATAAGTTAGCGTGGAGTCGGCCCAGGAGTCTCCAAGTCGCCGCGAGCCGCGCGGGCTGAGGGCTGAGCACGGGGTCTGGTCGAGGCACCCCGCCCAGACTGAGGCGTGCGGTCCCCTCGGCGGGGCCAGGCGCGGGCCAGGCGGGCGTTCAAGTGTGGGCCGCAGAGGGCGCCGGGGTGGGCTGCGGGGGGCCCATCGGTCAGGCCTCCTCCCGGGGGCCGAGGCCGAGGCCGCTGCGCGGGCAGGGGCAGGCGGGGCAGAGGTGCAGGGTTCTTTTTGGTACCAGGGGAGAAAGACTTGGGAGGAGGTAGTTTGTGGGGGACGGCGCTTCTGCTCAGCAGGAGGAAACGTCTTCCACAGTGACCAGGTCACTGCCACCTGAGGGGCGTCACGGCGGCGCCTGGGGCCGGCGCCTCGGGGTCTGGAGCCGCTTTGGGGAGACCCAGCCCCTGGCTGCTGCTCAGCGAGCTCTGGCGGGAGGCAGGGCCACCTGGCTGAGAGGCTGCCTGGCCCACCCTCCTCCTGACCCCACCCTGAGGCCCGGCTGGGCCCTTCACTGAGGATCCAGCGGGGTGCTGAAGCTCGGGTGCCCCCTCCTTGCGGGCGCCCCGCATTCCTGAATGTGCTATTTCACCGCCCAGGGCCGGCATGTGGGTGCCAGGGCAGGAGCTGGCACGGGGGCAGAGACGAGAGCGGGCGGGGACTGCAGGCCGAGCAGATTGGGGGGCCGGGGGGCGGGGCCGGGAGCGGAGGGCCTCCCGGCTCTGCCCGCCCTCCCGGGCGTCCTGCCTGCAGCTGCACCTCCGGGCCAGGCCGCACAGGACACGCTCCCCGCCAGAGAGGAGAGATGGCGGGGGTGGAAAAGAATAAGTCACCTTCGGAATACCCCGCCCGCTCCAAGAAAAAGTGTCGTTTTCTGTCTGGTCCTCGCTTTCCTTTTCAAACGCGCCGCTCTTCCCTGGAGCCTGCGGACGCCTGTACCGCCTTCAACAGGAACTCTCGCCGGCCCCCGCGGGCGGCCCTCGGCCTCCTGGGAGGACAGCCCCGTCCCCAGGGCCCCTGCGCTGTGCCTGCCCCGCCCTGGAGGGCCGGCCGGCCGCCTGTCTTGTGTCCCTGATGCAAGGCTAGGGGGTGGGGTGGGGGGCCGGGGGTTAAGGTAGAACTGGATGACGTTTGTGGAGACCTGCTCTGGGGACACCCGCCCCCCCAGGGCAGCAGGACGGGCCAGAGGACGTGAGTGGGCTGGGCTGACCCCGGGCGCTTGCACGCCTGGCTTGGGGGCGGGGGCTCAAGGAGGCACCAGGAGGTAGAAGGCAGAGCACCCTGCCTGGCTGTCCATGGACAGGGAGGGGACAGGGTTTGGGCCGGGCAGGGGGCAGTGGGCAGTGTGGCTGGCTCGGGCAGACGGCCCCGGAGGCAGGAGTGGTCTAGAGGAGAAGCAGGGCCGCGCTCAGGCACCTCCTCTGGGGTTGGGACCACCAAGGAACCCTCTGGAGGGGCCTGCCCGCGGGGGCACCCTGTCCGCGGCCCACGCAGCCCCTCCCACAGCAGCAGGCGAGACTGGGCCATGTCCTTCCTCCCCCCGCCCCCCTGGGTCTGTGCCCGCTGCCCAGCTCAGCCCAGCCCAGCTGTGCAGTCTGCGTTTGGTCTGAGTCCCCGGCAGTGCAAAGGGGCGGGCGGGGGCCGCAGGCGCAGCTCACCCTCAGCCGCGGGCCCCCGGGGCTATAGCACGTTGTAGTAGGCCATCTCCTTCATGGCCTGCTCCGTGAGGACGCTGGCCTCGGCGCTGCCGTCCACGCCCGCGTAGGCATAGGTGTTCTCCTCGAAGTCCTCCATCTCCTGCTGGCCGTCCATCTCTGAGGGGTCTGTGCCCGCCAGCTCCATCATGGGGTCTGCAAGACAGGGGCATGGTCAGGCCTGGCTGAGGCCTGAGCCTGGCCTTGAGCTGGTCACCCCCACACTGGGAGCCGATGACCTTCCTAAGGTAAGGGCTCCCAGCCTTTGCTCCCTGAGGGCTCGCGGCTGCCTCAGCCTCCCCACCTGGGGGCGGGAGGCCACCCAGGTTCCACAGCTTCAAGTGTGGGTCACGGGGTCAGAACCCCAGAGCCACGCGCGCGTGTGGGAGCTGACGGCGGGTCTCACCGGCAGACCTGCGGCCGGACCTCAAGTGCCCCTGCAGGCCGGGCCTGCCCCTCCTGGTCGCCAGCTGCTCGCTCAGGGCTTCCCGCTCCGCCCCACACTCCGGGAACACCCCACGGTGGGCGCCCCACACGACGTCTCCCACGCTTGAACAAGGCCATTTCCATCAAAAGGAAACGGAGGTTGCTGGATGGCCCGAGGGCCCAGCGAGGCTGCCGAGGGACAGACACCAAAGACGCAGGAGGGGAAGACACCGAGTGGCCTTTGGAGTTTTACCAAGCTGAAGGCCTCTGCGAAAGCCCTTCCTGTTGGAAGGTCGACAGAAAACTCCGGGAGGAAGCCCGGGGCCCCTTCTAAGGGGGACGGGGGCTCAGGTGTGAGCCTGGCCCTGTGCTTCTGCCCCACCCAGGGTGGGGGTGAGGAGGCCCATGAGGAGGCCCCTGGGGAGAAACAGACCCCAGCCGGGCACAGCTGGCTCAAGTCCTGGGCTCCTAACATCCGGGGCTAATTCCTTGCTGAGGGGCCGCGCATGGCAGGGCGTTCCACGGCCCCGGCCTCGCCTGCTGTCTCAACTCCACCGGTGTCCCTCAGGCAAGCTCGGCCCCCGTGGAGAACAACTGTCTGTGGGTGACCGGCCTCTCGCCAATGGTGTCAGGAGCAGGCGCGGACCCAGTCTGGCCGGCGGCTCGCGGGAAGGCCGGCTTGGGCATTCTTAGGGTTCTTGGCTTCACAGAACTCCCGCTTGCACATGTGCTGCGGGGCTGGCAGCCGTCTTGTGACCACGAGGACATCACAGGGATGCTGGGCGGGTGCCTCGCCCTGGTGTCGCTGTCAAGGGGCTGACTCGGCCGGCTCTGAGGACGGCCTGGACTTGAAGCCACTTCTTAATCCACGTCTGCAGAGTGAAGCCGGTCTGAACAGGCGTCTGTCCCTTGGCCCAGTGCCCCTGGCACACGTGCGTCTTTCTGGCTTCGTCCAACAGGCCGAGAGCCCAGATGCCAGAGAGCCCGTGCTGCTTCTCCCGCAATCCTCAGCCTCGCAGGCGAGGGCTGGTGAGAACACCCGCCTGGGACAGGCGCTCTCGCAAGCTGCCAGCCACCCCCTATGTCTTTGTTGGCCCCACTGCCCCTGCCCGTTGGCCCTGGGGAAGCACCCCCAGCGTCTGTTTCAAGGACACTGATCTACCCCGCCAGTTCCAGTCCGCGGTGGGGTTTACCAGCTGGTCCCATCAGAATGTGCTCGGCCCTCCTCCCTCACAGGCCTCAGGCCTGGGCCTCTCAGATCAAGGCTGCGGGTGGGAGGCTGGTGAGTTGGCCCCACCATCTCAGGTCCCATTGCTGCTCCCCCCACCCCCACACACAACCCGCCAGGCGTTCAGGGACAGTTCTTTCCCAAAGGACATGGCCACTCTGGTGGGTCCTGGCAGGTGAGTGTCCAGACAGGTCCACTAGAGCAGTGGTTCCCAAACTAACTCTGCCGTGCAGAATTACCCAGCAGCGTCAGGAATCCCACCCCCAGCCACACACGGCGGGGTGCGGGGAGCCTCTGGCATCAGAAGCGCCCAGGTGGGTCTGACCTGCAGCCAATTCTGAGAACCATTTTCTTAGTCTCCATCGAAAGTTCTCAAAATGAGGGGCCTTCCTGGTTGCGCAAACGGTTGAGCGTCAGCACTATGAAGCAATCTTGCAGCCACCGCGGCACGAGTTCGATCCCCGGCCAGGGAGGTGACCCACATGGTGCAGCAGACCTCTCCTGTGTCGCCCGCTGCTCCCCTCAGCAGTGTGCTTCGGTAGACACGCCTGTTCTGTTCCCTATTCTGTCTCTGGTGCATTTTCTTTACCCCCGCACCACTGGCGTACACCCCAGCTCTTACATGCATAAATAAATACAAAAATACATACATAGATTAAAAAAAAAGTTCTCAAAATGAGCCACCGACCTGCAGCTGCGGTTTGACCTGGGAACTTGTTGGAAATACAAGTTCAGGTGTGGGGGAGCCTGCCAGTGGGGCCCCCAGCTGATACCCAGGCATACCCTCCCTGCTCCTCAAGCTCCTTGGAGCAAACAGGGAGCTGGGTCTGGGGTGGGCAGAGCCGGCAGTTCCAGTGGCCCCACCCGGGGGCTGGGGGCGCCTGAGTAAGAGGGGCAGCCAGGGTTTCATGCTCACCCGCCAGGCGCAAGCCCAGGACTATGGCCCTGCTCCCGGCCAACTTCGGGTCCGTGCCCCCACCAGTCTGCCCTCTGGTCCAGACTGCACCAGAGCCTTGCTCCACCTGAAGAGTCTCTAGGGCACCCCCCACCAGACAGGAGACTCCCCCGACCGGGCAGTACTGTGGGGCTGCGGCCATACCCAGGGAGCCCACAAACAGCTGGCAAAGAGCCCGCAGACGTGACGTGGAGGCCAGGCCTCTCCTGAGGGCGCTCGCGGTAGGTCTCCCAGCGCGCCGTGTGCACTCGTGCGGGGGCTCTGGCCTCAGGCCCTGCCCTCATCCTCCGTTTCTCTCACAGGACCTCTCGCTCCACGAGGGGGGGTCACGGCTGCATGCAGCACCCCACGGTAGTTCTCTCTTTACAGTTTAAAAGGACAGGTGTTTGGGGAAAGGAGAGATACCTGGCCAGTCACGGGTGGGCTGTCCCGGAGAGCCCACCCGGCCCCATCATCACTTGGCGGCCTCCGGGCTCCCGCCCACTCACCTTGGCTGTCCAGGCCGATGTCCATGACGCCATGCTTGACCTTCATGTGGCGACTCAGGTTGCCCTTGAGGTTGAACTTGCTAGAGCAGTAGGGGCACTTGAAGGGCTTGCTCCCCGCGTGCAGGTGCATGTGGCCCAGCAGGTTGTACATGCGGTTGAAGGACTTCCCGCACACCTGCACGGGCACAGCCTCAGCCAGGGCCACCCCATGCGGCCCGAGGCCCACCCTGCCATTTCCCACGGTTCCCGGCCTGTCCCACTCCCCCGGCTGCAATCTCACCGAGTACCTGGGCCTCCTGCGCTGCGGCCCACTGGAGCTTCACCCCCCACCCTCTGCTCCAGCGGCTGTGGGACCCAAACCCCCACTGGCCACTCCAACCCCAAGCCCCAGGCCCTGCCCAACACAGCCCCGCCCAGCGGGCAGTACCTTGCATTTGAACGGCTTCACGGGCGAGTGCACGATCATGTGGGTCTTGAGGGTCTGCTTCTGCACGAAGGTCTTGAAGCAGATGTGGCACTGGTAGGGCCGCACGCTCGTGTGGATCAGCATGTGCCGCTTCATGTTGGCCTGCAGAGTGAACTCGCGGCCGCACACCTCGCACTTGAACTCCTTCACGCCCTGCGGGGTGGGAGGGTCAGGCGCGGTGAGCAGAGTCCCTGGAGGGGCTCTCCGGCCTGCAGGGGTGTGGGTGTGGGTGTGGGTGTGCGAGCCCCTTGTGCAAACACGGGCTTCCTTATAGAGGCCCCGCCTGTCTAAAACCACAGGAGAAGGGGCTGACAAAAGGGGGGAGCTGGCCTCGCCCTGTGACGGCCTCTAAGAGCCTGGGGCAGACTCGCCCGTCCTGGCCGTGGCCTCCCACACAGCTTGGTCTCCTGACTGGGTGGCTCCGGGCCTACTGCTCAGCAGACCTGGCCTGGAATTGCCTGCTGTGCTCGCCCGACACGCGGAAGCTGTGTGGCCGCAGGGGCCGGCCCTCTGGGGGTGTGAAGTGCGGTGCGCACGCCCCCGCCCCCAGGCTGCTCTCACTTTGATCAGCCATTGATGTCTGCATTCGGCATTTCCTCACAGCATCACTTATCTCTGCACGCCTGCAGACGTGCGGGGCGACGGCGAGGGCATGTGCGTGTGCACTGCTCTTGTCACTCCCGCGCGACATCAATACTCCATCGTCTAGTTTTACTGCTGAGCCCACCTTCAGCCTCCTCCTCAACCCACGCTTGGGCCGCACCCCAGCGGCTAGAGAGGCGCCGGCAGTGAGGCCCCAGGTGGCGTTGGCGAGGGCAGAGCCCATCCCGGGGCCTTGAGGGCTGGGGTCTGCCGGGTGGCCGTCGCTGTCCCCACGTGAGGGTGTCCCCTGAGAGAACAGGACACAGTCTGACCTGGAACTCCCCTTGGCCCCATGATGGAGAGGGGCGCTCTCCCTACATCCGGCTTCAGAGTGTGAATGAAGGTGGACAGAACGGGGAAGGCCGCACAGGGCAGGTGAGGCCCAGAGTGGCCCTCAGGACCCACTGTGAGAGAGGCCTGCTCCAGCTGCCTGGGTGTCAGGGCCTCTGGGGTGTTGCTGGCTGAAAGGAAGGGCGGTCAGTGGCCTGGAGGGAGGAGGGGACGTGGAGAGAACAGTCAAGGTTATGTCAAGGACATCGTGACCGTGACAGTGCGGCTCCATCGCCACAGACCACATCCCTAGTCTTATTCTAGGACTGATTACCTTTACCAGGGAAAAGGTTGTTAAGTCTACTCGCTCTTCAAGCAGAACACCTCTGGCCTTCTCCTGAAGGCCACTTTTGCCATCACGAGAGCCAAGTAGGCCACCAGCCCCTTGGAGTCGGGACGCTCGGCCTCCTCCTTGGCCGCCTCGCCTCCTTCCCACCATAACACGGGGCGAGCAGGCGACTTCGCTGTGGACCTGCATGGGGTTCCTCAAACATGCTATTCACAAAGAATTTTTTTACGTATTTTGAAAACCCTAATTTCAATTACAGTTGACTTTTGACACGCCCGGCACACACCGCCTGCACTTTCTCTTGCTGGAGAGTGTCTCGACGCCCTTTCCTTCAGAGCCAAGGCTGTCACGAGGACACAGCCCGGGGTCCGGAGAGCAGACGAGACCCGTGCTCTCCCGTGGCCTCACCGACAAGGCTTCCGGTCAACAGGCCATGGCAGCGAGGGTACTGGGAGCCAGGAGCCATTAGCACCTTCAACTGTGTGTGGGGAGGGCTCGGTGCCCCTCACTGCCCCGTGCCGTGCCAGGGTCACCCGTTTGTTTTTTCCGAATACTCATCAGAATAAACATGCGAGGCCAAAGGGAGGAGGGCCCACGGCGGGCCTGCGGCCTCACCCCTAGGCGCGCTCGTCCCGACCGGGGAGCCGGGGTCGGAGGGGCTTACCTTGTGGGTGAGCGAGTGCTGCTTGAGGTGGTGGATCTGGCTGAACTCCATGCCGCACTCAGTGCACACGAAGGGCCGCACGTTCTGGTGCTTGAGCATGTGGTTCTGCAGCTGGCTGCGGTAGTGGAAGGACTTGTCACACTCGAGGCACTGGTACAGGGTGGGGCCCTGGTGGGAGGCCAGGTGGCGCTTGAGCTGCGTCAGGGTGGAGAAGTCCAGGCCGCACTCGACGCACACGTGGCAGCGGCCGCTCTCGTGCTTCACCTCGTGCGCCTTGAGCTCGCTGGGGTAGGCGAAGCCGCGGCCGCAGAAGTGGCAGCTGTAGGGCTTGACCTCCGAGTGCAGCAGCATGTGGCGCTTGAGGTGGCTGGTCTGCGTGAAGGCCTTCTGGCACACCTGGCACTTGTGCGGCCGGGTGCCCTGGTGCGTGAGCAGGTGCGTCTGCAGGTGGCTGGGCTGCTTGAAGAGCTTGCTGCAGTGCGGGCAGGAGTGCGGCTTGATGCCGTTGTGGCCCAGGATGTGCGTCACCAGGTTGTACTTGGACGTGTAGGACTTCTCGCACATGCGGCACTGCCAGCGCTTCTGCCGGTCGCCCGCCTCCACCAGGTACGAGTCGTCGATCTGCACGTTGATGTCCAGCCGGTCCAGCTGGGCCTTCTTGTGGCGCTCTGCCGTCGAGCCGGCCGCGTCGGCCTCGAACTCGCCCGCCTCCTGCCACACGAAGCCCTGCTCTGGCTTCACGGGCTCCGGGGACCCCAGGGTGGGGGCCTCGGGGTCGCTCAGGGGGGCCAGAGGCGGCGGCTCAAAGCCGCACTCGGCGGGCAGGGCCTCCGGGCCGGGCAGCGCCAAGCTGGGCTCGGGGAAGCCATCGCGGGCCGGGTCAGGGAAGTGGGGGTCAAAGGGGGCCATGTCCAGCTCCGGCCTCGGGGTGCGGGGCAGAGGCCGCAGCGTCCGGGGCTTGCGGCTGAAGGCGCTGAGGTCAATCATCTTCACGGCGCTGCTCTGCACCAGAGGCTCGCAGCCGCCAACGGCCGCCTCGCTGGGGGCCTCGGCTGGGCCCGCGGCCCTGTCGTCGCCGGGCACGGACACCTCGTACACCTCCTCCTCCTCCTCCTCCACCTTCTCAAACTTGACCTTGGGCACCAGGCGGACGGGCGGCCGCGTCTTCCGCCGGGTGTGCTTCTCGAAGGCCGCCTCCACCTCCAGCACCTCTTCCTCCGCCGGCTCCTCCAGGGGGCGCCCGTTGCAGGCCAGCTGGTAGAGGTCAGGGCCAGGGGGCCCCGGCTCCCCCACGGCCACCCCAGACAGTTCGGGCCCCAGGTCGGGGTAGAAGGCTTCGGCGCTTATGGTGGCTCCAAAGAGCTCATTTTCCGAGACCAGCCCCAGCACGGCGGCCTGGGCCAAGGACAGCACCACCACGGCATCCGTCTGTGTCCCTGAGTCCATGAAGCCCTCCATCCCGTGGCGGCTGGCTAGGAGGGCATCGCTGTGGGGAAAGAAGGCACGTTACCGCGGCCAGCTCAGCGCCACACACCCCCACACGCCCGGCAGGGCTCCGCGAAAGCTGGGTGTCCTCTGCCCCTTCTCTGGACACAGGGCACACATGCAGCCAGGGGGAGCAGCGACAACCCCAGCGTGTCCCCTCGACTCCCCGAGGGATCCTGGGTAAGCCCTGGCCCCTGCGAGCCTCGGCCTTCCCGCCTGTAGGACAAGGAGGCTGGATTTCCTCAGCGGTTCTCAGACTAGGTTCCACAGCCCTTCAGGGGTTCCTCAAAAATCTGATTCAAAATGGCAAAAAAGCACTTCTCTCATAAAGACCAGTTTTAGAACAGCCACCGCAGACGCATATACTGCACCCCAACACATCCGGCAGCCCTGCTGGTCTCGTTGCCAAGGTAATTAATTTTGCACAGACCTTGGGACTGTACAGTGAGGTGTTAAACAACCATCGCCATTTCTAACAGCTGGGCCACGTGAATGGGGTGCGTGTGTGTGTGTGCGTGTGTGTGTGTGTGAGAGAGAGAGAGAGAGAGAGAGAGAGAGAATGAATCTGGGGGAAGATAAGGGCGCATATGAGCTCAAACCAGCGTCCATCCATCCCAGCCGGCGGCTCACATTTAAGCACCTGAAATCACACTGACTAAAGGCCGAGCCTAAGTGACTGGACACTGGCCTCCAAGGCAGGGCTGGGAGGGCGGGGCCCTGGAGGCACCGGGTGGCTCTGGCTGCGAGCAGGCGCCCTGCTGCCCGGGCCCAGGGCTCTCTGGGCTGACAGGTTCTTCTGCAAACACAGGAGCCCTCACCTGTCCACGCCCTGCCTCCCCAGGGGCTGTCAGTACCCAGTGGGGGCCCTTTACCAACTACCACAGCCTTCCAGGCTCTCCTCAAATTCTGCCTGCTCCTGGGGCTGTGCCAGCCTTCCCCTCCAGCCCTGGAGCCCTCTGCAGGCCCCCAGAGGGGCAGACGGACAGACGGTGGTGGCAGAGGGAGCCCAGATTTGGGAGGGCCTCCTCCCCACGGCACCCCCGCCCCCCAGCGGCCTGGGCTGCCATGAGGAAGGGCCTCGCTGCAGGGCTGGCCACTGCAGCCCTCCCTCAGGAAAGGTCTCTGGCCGGGAGTCTCCCTCCCCCATGGGCCAGGAGAGCTTCCCCTTCCTAGTGGCTAAAAATACCCTCGACAGGAATCTAGCTTCCTTAAACAGACACCAAAGATTAAACTATTAAGCTTAAAGTGGGTTCATGTGAAAGCAGTGGGCCGGGCCCCGGAGCCCCGGGGCCCCCCTGGGGCTGGGGGGGGCCGCACGGTTTCCAGGCCACACAGGCAGGGGGCCAGCACTTGGCCTCAACTCACAGCTCTGTCACTACGAGAGACTGACTACGGTCACGTTGGTGATTTCGCTTCCCCATCTACCGAGTGGGGCCGGAACCCCTGCGCAGAAGGGTGCGCGCCCGGCGCTGTCAAAGGCCCCACCCACGGGAAGAGTCCTGGAGATCCCGCAGGGAGGGCCTCACCCTGGGCCCCAGAGCGCGAAGCCTCAGGTGGTCTGAGACACCTCAGGGGGCGGCGCGCCCATTCATCTACCCAGGAACGTCGCTACATCCCGCCATGCTTGGAGGGAGCCAGGTGAACGGGGCAGGCCCTGCCCGCTGGGGGCCCACGGAGGATGCTCTGTGCCCGGCGCCGGGCTGCCTCTGGACACAGGGAGCTGTCTGCACCCCATTGGCACTTATGTCCCCCCAGCAGCCCTTGTGTGTGCTGTGATTTGAGGTAACAGCCAACTTGGCAATTTTTCTAGATGTCTCCAAAGCCAGCAGAGAGAAAACAGACCGTCAAGGGCAGGGCCTGGTCTTCCCGGGCCTGGGCCCATCCCGTCAGCCCCAGCCTCAGTTTCCTCCTGGGCAGCAGAGACGAGAACGTGCGTCCTCCCTGCACCGTCTCCCTCGGCCCCTGCCCTGAACACGGGACAGGGCAGGGCTGCCCTGGAGAGCCGAGCACTGGCCTGGGGTCGCCACACGGGGAAGACAGTCCATCATCCCAGCTGGCACCCCAAGGAGGAGCAGGGGCCCCTCGTAACGCTCACACCACACCTGGCCACAGCGTCCCTCCCCAGGGCCCACCCAGGGTCGGCTATGGCCAGGACTGCGGGGTGTCACTAGGCCAGGAGCAGAGCCGGGTGTGAAGGGGGCCCACGAGCCCTTGCTCTGAGGGGTTTGTGCCCAAGTGGGGTGCACAGAGGTGCCGGGACTGACCTGACACGGGCGGTGGAGCCAGACTGTCTCTGAGGCCTCGGGTGAGCGAGGGGTGGACGGGCACGTTTCTCTGTGGCCCAGGAACCCCAGGCCCAGCCCCTTCGCTGTACACTGGGTGGCACCCTCGGGTGGGGAGCCACAGACCCGGACCCTGGGAGACCGGGCCTGCCAAGCCCTGGAGCAGGGCCCCTCTGGGGTCTCCACCCCCTGCACTCCTCCCTGGAAGGTTCTCTGACCACGAGCCAGCCTGGTCTGCCTAGCCCTGCTTTCTTGGACTCTGGACAGACACGTCGCCTGGACGTGCCGCTTTCGAGGTGCTGAGGGGGCAGGGCTGGGCCCTGCATCTGTGCAGCCTTGTTCATGTTCACGGGCCGCGGGGCGGTGCGAGCGTCCGCGTGGGAGGGGCTCTTGTCTGTGGAGAGAAAGACGCCTGAACCTAATCCACCTGCACCCGCCTGCCGGCTCCTGTCTGCCGCGAGCAGCAGAGCCTTCCAGCCTCAGGCCCGGCTCGGCTGCGGCGCCCTCCCTCCCGGCTCCTCCTCAGGGCCTCCAGTTTCAGGCCCCGGCATGGCATGGGGCGCTGAGAGCCTGTTGGGGGGCCTACCACCTGTGTGCCAGCCCCCAGCCCAGGCCCCTGGCAGCACTTCCCTTCTCTGGCCAGGTCCGTGCCCCACCTCTGCAGGCTCCGGAACAAAAGCTCTCCATATGGTCCGAGACGGGCCGGGCGGCCCCTCTCACTAGTGAGGAGGTCGGGGAGGATGCGGGCCTGCGCGGGCAGCGGAGTGGGCCGGGAGGGTGCGGGGGCTGGGAGGCCACAGCAGAGAGAGAGGGAGAGAGAGAGAGAGAGAGGGAGAGAGGAGATAAAGGGACAGGAGGAGGGAGAGGGAGAGACGGAGAAGCGGGAGGGAGAGAGGGAGGGCGAGAGAGGAGATAAAGGAGAAACTAGATAAAGGAGGCAGGAGGGCGAGGGGGGAGGGGAGGGGAGGGGAGGGGAGGGGAGGGGAGGGGGAGGGGCGGAGGAAAGAAGCCTGCAGGGGGAGGGGCGCCGGCGTGACCGGGGAGGGAGGGCGCAGGCTGCGGAGCCGGGAAACAAAAGCAGGGGAGGGAGAGGAAGGGAGTGGGCAGGGGAGGGGAAGAGGCCCGGTGACCCCGAGGCCCAGGCCACTGCACTTCCAGGGCTCAACAGGCCCCGCCCCTCCAAGCCAGGTCCGCCCCGCCTGCTGGGCCCGGTCCCCAGGGCGTCCGGCCGCCTCCAGCTCGCAGACCATCATCGCCTGCGCCCCAGGCCTCACCTCCCTCATCTGCAAAATGGGCGCAGAGGCTTCCTGGCACCTCGAGGGTTAATCTTTGGCCTCCCTGCCTGTCTCCCAGGCGGACCCCTCAGGCTGCTGGCTGAGCGCTGGGGGGCACGGGCCAGGTCTGGCCCGGGGCTGGCGGGACAGGAACCATTCTGAAAGAAGGAACAGGGCCCGGCGACCACCGGCCGTTCTGTGGCCCACTGAGTTCAGTGCCCTCCTCCCGGCCGGCAGAGTCACAGGATTCATCACTTGGGTGACAATTTTTGGTGGCCTGACAGACGCCCGCGCCCTGGCTCCTGCTGGGAGCACAGGCTTGCCCTTGACCCTCGGGCCTTGCATCTCCAGGCAGCTCAGAGGCTGTGGACTTCAGCCCTGTGACTGAATCACTGCCCCCACATGTTGGCAGGATGCCCACAGGCTGGGGGTTTTTCCTGGCCGTGGGGGTACAGGAGGGAAAGAATCGAGTCCCCCCCCCCTTGGGAACAGCCCCGAGACAGTTGAGTCAGCAGAGAAGCAGCAGGGCCTGGCCAGGGGAGGCCTAGCTGGGGTGTGGGCAGGGCGCCTGGGCCAGAGCCGGTGGGTGGGCAGGCTGGGGAGAGGCTGGCTCCCTGTTGGAATGCAAGCCCCCTGGGATCTGAGCCTCTGGCTCCTCTGCCTACCCCACCCCACCCCACCCCACCCCCCGCAATGCCACTGCGTGCGCGCCCTCCGCCATGCCCTCTCCTTCCGCCCACCTCAGGCCTGCAGGCAAGGGAAGTCCCAGCAGTGCCTGCGGCTGTAGAAGACACTCAGGGACTTCAGGCGGAGGACGCGGCCCTGCTGTGCTCTGCTCTCTTCATGCAGATGGAAGGGAACCTTCTCACATCCCAGAAAGGAAGAGGGGAGGAAAGGAAAGTGGAGGTTTGTGCAGACTCAAGGCTCTTCCCAGTCTCACTTCTGCCTGGCCCACAGGCCCCTCTGGACTCCGCAGCTGGAGGCCCCGAGATCCCCGGCTGGGGCGGGGTGCTAGGGGAAGTGCGCAGTCTCCTCCTTACCTCAACTTCCCCTTTTCTCCCAGACAAGGGCCACCAACCCCCAAACCACGGGAGGGTCTGATGCCCACGGCATCCAGTCACTTCTGACTGATAAGGAGAGGCCCAGGGAGGGGAAGGGACTGCCAAGGTGCCAAGGGAGCAACCAATGAAGCGAGGCCGCGAACGCAGGTCTCCAGAAGCCCCCTCGGTGACGGGGCGGCAGGGTGAAGCCCTCGCCTGAGCGGGCTGTCCAGGGCCAGCCTCCAGCAGGCTTCCCGCCCCTGCTCTTCCCACCGCAGGGCCTTCGCACAGACGGCCGCCAGCCTGCCCTTCCTGGCACTGGGCGCACTTCCTCCCGAGGCATCCTTGGCCGCCAGGGCAGGGCCAGGCCTCTTCCACAGCCCGGGACAGGGTCGGGCCGGCCTCTGTGTCCAGCACCAACCAAGGGGTGATTAACATCAACTCTCGGGGGACCTAAAGGCGAGCAGGACGCCCCTTGCTGCAGGCAGGCCTTGTCCCCTCAGCAGAAGTCGCCAGAGGGAAGCAGCTTTCCCGGGGCAGTGCTGCCTGCGGAGTGGACGCTGGAAGCCCCGCCCGGGTCTCCAGCACTGCAGCCGGCTCTGCAGATGTCGGAACTGCCGGCCCCAGGGGTGTGCGCCGACTCCCAGGAGCAATGTGTATTTCCCGCCGCTGGCTCTGACCGCCAGTGCCTCGTAACTGGCTGAGTCTCGGGGCTGCTTCCTCAGCATCCTCCGTTGGAGGACAGGGCTACAGAGGACAGCGGGCGCGTCCTCGGAGGAAGACAAGAGGGGGGAGGGCGGAGGTGGAGGCAGTCACCCCAAAAGCTGGAAAAGGCATGGGGAAATCCTTGCCTGGCAGTTCTGTTTGCTCTTCTCTGCCCCTTGCCTGGCACGACCCCAAGACAGACCTGCTCTTTCCTCAGGGTGCTTTCTGGCTGCACAGGGAAGGCAGGCCTCTCCGGGGCCTCAGGCCTAGGAGAGCTCCTAGCTCTTCCCTCCTGACACCCTTAGGGGAAGGGAGGCTCCTCCCAGAGGGGACGGCCAGACCCCAGGCCCCCGCCTTCCGTGGGGGCCACGGGGGTTGGCATGGTAGGATGTGGGGGGCAAGGGATTGGCCCTACCCAGCACACTCCTGAGTTCTCTCAGGAGTTCTGTCCCACAGCTGCCCTGGACCGCAAAGGCCAAAAGAGGCCCGGCCTCCACCCCGACGCAGGACCCAGCATCATTGCCATAGCCCCTGCCATCGAGTCCAGCCCCCAGCAGAGGCCAAAAGCAACAAGCTCGCCTGACCCTTCTGCACGGCCTCACGCGGGCTGCGAGTCCCTTCCTTCCTCGCCCTCCTGCACGATGGCTGTTTCCTTTCTCGGCAGCCCTTCGGCACACAGCCTCTCCCCCTTGCCACGCGCCTCATCGTGCCGGGAAGCTCGTCCTCTTCCCCGCTCCTCCACGCTCCAGGAATGACGTCACTTCTTGCCGACTCCCCCGGCCCCAGCCCCAGCCCCAGGCCACGTCTGGTCTCCCAGGTTCGAAGCTGCTCTAAAGCTAATACTTTTCCTCCCTGGACGTCGGCACGGTTTTTGTGACAGAGGTAGGCGTGCAATCACCCCGCGTGTCCGGCGTCCCCATGAGGTCACAGGGCTGCTGGGCGGGGGGGGGCTGACCTCCCGGCCGCTGCGTCCTAGTGAGTGCACAGAGCCGGTGGTTGCCCCTCCAAAAACACCCCCACCAGAGGGCTAAGGGGCCCCCCGCTGAGCCCCCCCCCCCACCGGCGGTCCTGTCCCCCCAGCGCAGCGCCAGTGCCCACCCCAGGAAGGGACAGCAGCCCTGGCAGCGCAGGGCCCCACAGCTCTTCTCCAGTTCCAGAAGGAAAAAAGTCACCTGTCCACCCAACAAGGCCATGGCGCTGGCCCCCAAGACCACCCGCTCAGCGCACCAGGGACAACAGACGAAACTCGGCCTCGCCAGTTCCCGGGACCAAGGGAAGGCCTGCGGACAAGCAGGCCGCAGCGTGGGGGGCTGGACTTCGTGGGCGCCGCGCCCGTGCCCCAGGGCTGTGGCGACAGGATGGGCGGGCGGGCGGCGGGACCCCGGCCCAGCCCCGCCTCCTCTGCCCACCTCAGTTTCCTGCGCGGGGCCTGGCTGGGATCTGGGAGCGCCCTCCCCTCCCCCCTTCCTCCGGCAGACCTTCTCCATCCGTCTTCCTTTCCCTCCATCCTCCCTCCTTCCGTTGCCGTGGCAACCCGTCCCGCTCCGCCTGGTCCTGCCTTCCCCTCTTCCTTCCTTTCCTTTCATCTGCCCCTCCTCGGGCACAGCCCCCACGCCCGTCCTTGCTGTGGCCACTCGCCCCCCGCCCCCGCCTGTCCTGTGCCCTCCCCCTGCTCTCCTGTGCTCTCGGGCCACATTCGCTTATCTCCTGCTCGCAAAACATTAAGAGGAAGAAGGAAGGAAGAAGGAAGGACGGGAGGGGAAGGAGGGAGGCGGGCGGGAGCCCCACTCCACCGCCTGCGCCTCGTTCCGCCCCCGCCAGCCTCCTCCCGCCTCCTCGCAGGTGCTCTCCAGGGGCCAGACCCCGGCCAACCCCAGCCGGGCCCGCCCCAGGGAGGCCCCCCGGGAGGGAGGAAGGAAGAGCAGCGTGGAGGTGTCCGGGTGGGGGCTCGCTGAGGGGAGCCAGGGCCGGCCCGGGGTGCAGCCCCACAGGAGCTCGCTGGAGCCGGGGGAAGCCCACCCACACGCAGCCGTGGGCGCCTCGACCCCCGTGGCCACGTGACTGAGACACTGGCCAGCCTGGGCCGGGGGCCTCCATAGGCTGCCCCCCTCACTCCAACAGCAGTGGGCTGCTCCGTCTCCCCAAATGCCCTCTTTGCCATGCCTGCCAGGCTCCCCTGCCCATGCCCATGCCCGAGGAGGGCTGTCGGGGGGCCCCCGCTTCCAGAGCGTGTGTCATGGGCCAGGCCCGAGGCAGGTGTCTGGTTCCCACTCGCAGGGAGCAAGCTGGGGCTGGGGGCTGCTCCGGCCTGAGCCACACGGGAGTGAGAGGAAGGCAGGACGGCCCCCTTCCCTCCCTCCGCCCTGTGCTCTGCGAGAGAGGCCGGTCAGGCCTCGCCTGGCCCCCAGCACCTCCCGGTGCGCGCTCAATCCGGAGGGATGGGA